CATTAGCACCTCTAGTAATATATTTACTGAGAAAAATGGTGATGTGTTCAATACTTATTTTACCCGCTGTGTCTGATATTTTTCAAGGCAACCTCAGTCTGAATGTTTGTGTGTTTCATCCAACTTTTTCATCAGTGAGGTGGGGGTGAGCGGGTCGATTCAATAATCACACTAACTTTGACTCATGCTGTTTGAATCTTGTAGCTCCACACATCATCTACAGAACAGAAGTCCAGTTGCTTCATTGTTTATCTTTTAACTTTCCATTTCCTCGATGACCGTATCAATACTAAAGTTACTCAATCTKTAATTTTTTTTTAGCTCGGTTAGCACGTCACTCTGTTACAAAAATGAAATGCTGCACCGGAGCATCCAGTCAGAAGCAGGTTCAGATATAAACACTGAACTAAACAAGCTGGTCAGATAATTATTTGATCAGCTCTGACTGCACAGCAACTTCAGAATCAACATGTTATCATGTAGCATCTGTAGGCTACTTCTGTAAACAGTGTGTGATGTCACATCATCCTCTGAGCATCAGTGCTGTGGAGAGTTCACACTGGAGTGAAGATCATTTAAACTACAGTATGATGTGAACGTTCACACACACACAAAAATCAGATTTTTGCAAAAAATTGTAATTAAGCATTAAGACCTGCAGTGTGAACATAGCCATATTCACCCTGTGGACTGAAAACATTTAAAATCTTTATTGGTACACACAGCAGAGTTTTTGTTCATGTTTCCATTGCAACATTTTAATTTTTCTTTTTTAACCTTATTATTTTTGTATGGATGCATGCCAGGCGTTAATGACTTGTTCTTATTTAGTTTATATGCTTGTATTTAAAAAAGAATAAGCTTATATTGTAAGCAGTGTTAAAGTACCACAAAGTGATACTTGAATAAAAGTACAATTATCTTACCATAAAATTTCTTAGGTAAAAGTTAGTCTCCTCTAAGAATATCACTTCAGTAAAAGTCTTAACGTGTCTGATACTTTTGTACTTAAATATTAAAAGTAAAAGTATTGAGTAAAAATGAATGGTTAGATTTTCCGTATTGACATTTATTGGGAGGTGAGCTCCAAAAATACATTTTTCTAAAGGCCGAGATGACTATAATGTCGTAATAAAATGTCAGTGTCCTGCCGGAGTGTGACATGATTTGTGTCACTTGGAGCCCAATTTATCTGGATACAGTGTTGTATAAAGTACCTCAAAGTGATACTTGAGTAAAAGTACAAGTATCTTATCATAAAAGTACTTTGGTAAAAGTTAAAGTCTGCTCTAAAAATATTACTTGACTAAGTCTTAAAGTATCTGATATTTTTTGTACTTAAGTATCAAAAGTAAATTTCTGACACAAAATCTACACAAGTATTAAAAGTAAAAGTACTGAGTAAAAGTGAGCACTTAGATTTTCCAAAATGACATTTACTGGGAGGTGACTTCTCCAAAAAATTATTTTTTCTAACAGAGTGCAGCTGTGATGGGTTGTGTACAAGCTAATAGTGTGTCAGAATTGTATATATTTATATTTCTCATCCAACCACAATTAAATTCACTCTATCCAGGAGACAATTTATCAGGATAGTATTTTTTAAGTAATAACAACTCGGAATAAAATAGGAGTAACGACTTTCTACTTCTTACCTTTTWAAAAAATGTWGTGAGTAGAAAGTACAGATAATTGTGTAKAAACGTAATGAGTAAAAGTAAAAAGTACGCTGAAAAATAATTACTCAAGTAAAGCACAGATAACCAAAATTTCTACTTAAGTACAGTAACAAAGTATTTGTACTTAGTTACTTTACAACTCTGTCTGGATAGTATATACTGTATATTTTTTAACAATAACAAGCCGGAATGCAAACAAGCAAAAACTTTCTTGCCTTTTTTAAAAATATAAGGAGTAGAAATTACAGATAACTGAGTGAAAATATAAGGAGTAGAAGTAAAAAGTAGGCTGATAAATAATTACTCAAGTAAAGTACAGATAACCAAAATTTCTACTTAAGCACAGTAACAAAGTATTTGTACTTAGTTACTTTACAACTTTGGTTGTAAGTCACATGACTTGGGGGGGGTGGGGCAGTAGGATGAAGACGTTCAGGTTTAGTTTCTGCAGATCGTCTACCTGGTGAACACAGTGTTAAATATTTAATATTAATTCTATAACAGTAGATTTAATCGTATCTTTATCATCCCCTTGACAACTACACTCAAACCTACCTAACTTCTCTCTTTACACTCAGGCCTTCTTCACTGCTACGATGGAGCCTTCAGACAGCACAACCATCAACCACACGCTGAACCCCACCGGTGGTGGAGGACTGTGGGACGTCAGCGACAAGACTCGACTGTGCCGCTTCCTCTGTTTCGGTTCAGAGGGAGACATGTACACTGCCAGAGAGGAGGGCCGTGTCGGCATGGAGAACGCCGCAGCCCTGCTCTCCTTGCTCCAGGAGGGCCGGGGGTCCGAGGTGGTGGAGGAGATAAAGAGGTTCGCCCAGGATGGGCAAGCTGTAAGACTGGGCCCTGCCTTTTTCGCCTTGGCTCTGTGCTCCCAGCACTCGGAGCTGAAGACCAGACAGGCAGCGTTCAAAGCCCTGAAGGAAGTGTGTCGGGAGCCGGCACACCTGTTTTTATTTGTTCAGTTCAAAAAGGAGCTGAAAGAGGGCATGAAGTGTGGGATATGGGGTCGCGCCCTAAGGAAGGCCGTGTCTGACTGGTACAATGAGCAAGACGCCATGAGTCTAGCTGCAGCTGTGACCCGATGTAAACAGAGGGAGGGCTGGTCACACCAGGACCTGCTCAGGCTCGCCCACACCAAACCAGCCACAGATGGTGAGTTGGCAGAAGCCCATGTCACTCAAAGCTGCTCCTGTAGCAATGGGTGAAAATAAAACCCACTTACATCTCAGAAATTCAGGCTTGTGAGGCTCCTAAGTGTTAATCCAGACATGCATTTTAACTTCRGTACATCTGTGTTGTGATATGGGACATCTTCAACTACTCAGTTATGCATATTGAAAAATCTAGTTTTGATCCATCATAAGTTAAAAAAAATGCATTGATTTTAATGTTGTAACCATTTAAACCACAGATAAAAACTATTCTACAACCCCTGGCAAAAAGTATGGAATCACCAGTCTTGGATGAGCACTCATTCAGACATTTCATTCTGTAAAACAAACTCAGATCAAAAACATTATACAATAATAAGGTCATTCCAAAGTGCAACTTGTTGGCTTTCAGGAACACTGAAAGAAATGAAGAGAAAAACATTGTGGAAGTCAATGAATATTACTTTTATTGACCAAGTACAGGGAAAAAATGGAATCACTCAATTCTGAGGAAAAAGAATGGAATCACTCACATTGGAGGTAGAAAATAAGGACACACCCAGTCAATTTCCTTTCTCTAAATGGACACCTGGCTCAGATTAGATCTGCTCGTTAGTCTGCAGTTAAAA